CAAAAAAGCAGCAATGTTTCGAGCATTAACAACTACAACGTTACTTCAATGATGGGTTCGCCATGTTAGCTGACTTAAAGTATCAAAATGGCTACAAGGAAAACAAGATAGATAAATAAAGCACAATATAATCGCATTCCGTCAAATCGTAACCAGTCATTCTCGCAGTCGTCTACGGCATTTAGAACTCATTTATGCACCAAAGCAAATTGGCATTACTCCAAACCACGCTAGAACTGCACCACTAGAACTGCTTATAAGAGTCTCAACCTATGTCCCGCCGGACGATGCATTTATTAGGCTGTCACTAAGTTTTGCAACTACTTTTGCAACTACTTTTATAACTTCTCTCACTTGCTTAAGACGCACTCAATTTTACCATCATGTAGTTCATGCGTAAACTACGAGTGCAGCCACAGTTCTGCAAAATTCTGACGTCGCATCGGGGGTTACGGTAGGTATATGGTATGTGGGGGAAAAATTACAGAGTATTACAAATTTGGCTGAAACTTTGTGTAGAGGGGTTATTTGATGCTGATCACGAAAACGATGTTGGCTTTACGTGGTAGGAGCTTTTTGCAAGGTTACGGTAGGTTTACACTACGGGGTCTCACGCTACACAAGGAAAGGAGGGATTAATTTGATGAATGAATATGATGTTTCTATTCGACAGGCACGCAACCTCAGCAGCGAAGTTTTAGCGAAATTCTGAGACTTCGACTTTTAGTAACTGACGCTTGTCCCTTCAGGTTTGCGTACAGCGCTCTTTTAACTTTGTGAGGACGATAAATCTTGAGTTGTTTTCGAATTCTATTTCTTCGTTACTGCGCTAGATAAGTCAACCTCTAACAACAATTTGTGCACACTTTTGGATTGTTGTGCATGATCTAGGTTGAGAACGGCTTCATTTTCACTTAAAGGCAGTGGCCGGGCAAAAACTTGATTTTTAGAAAATCCACATACAGGGGGTTATCCGCAACGCTGAATCCGAAAATCTACATCAGAAGGCGCAAAAACGGCGAGAACATATGTCTTCTAAAGACGCACAATTTGAAATTCGACGGTTCCTACCAAGGCAGAGACGCAGAGTCGCTGCGGGACCCTACATTTTAACTGTGGCGGCATGCGTACTCTGCCGCATAGCACCGCCTCAAGGAGAGTGGCCCCACTTTCCGGTCGTTTTTCTTGCTTTATGTCGAGCATTATGACGTCGTACCCAGAGGTGCGATAGGGGGAGCCGGGTCCCCCAAAAGTGAAGGTGGTTTCAGCTACCACTGGCCGGCCAAAAGTGAAGGTGGTAGTGTCGGACACTCACCTCCCAAAAACGTCGACGGGGGGGGGGAGGTGCGGGGGGAGGATAGAACGGACGAACGGAGCTATCTTTCTAGGTCTAACGTCGACCCAACGGCCCTCTTTAGGGCCACAGATACGATGAATATTATAAATATCTATAAATTTTATTTATAAAATTTAAAATAGACGTGTTTAGTAAATGGTGTATTTGGAAGTAAAGCTTAGCAAAACTGTACGGATTTTATTAAGCAAATTATGTTATAACGTATAGCGAAGGAAGTAGGTCGATCCAGGCAGTAACGGCGGAGAACCAGAATTTTGAATATTTAAATAGTGAAAAATCATGCGAAATTTCCACTGTTATAAATCTGTTGTTTGAAGATGTCAGCAGTTGCGACTTCATAGGCTTCAAAGAGTAAATGTTGCTCTATCAGCTAGTGAAGGAATCTGGTCGATTTAAGAGATAGTCGTTGAAAACCAGAGTTCTAAAACTTTACGCCATTTTTGCGTGTTTTTTGACTGTTGAGAGTTAAACTCTTATAAATCTTGAATGTGGAAGTGTATGATGTTGCGACTTCATAGGTTTTATAGAGTAAGGTTTGCCTTATCAGAATATGTCTTGTCCGTTCCGATCCATTGAAACACCTCCGAGATCCAGAGTCATGAAAAAGCAGGTAAAAAAGAGCTTTTTGAACTTCAACAGCTCATAACTTCTTCAGAACTGCATGAATCATGTTGCGACTTCATAGGTTAGATTCCTCTCATCAAGGGCTTTCAGATGATATATAATATGTGGGGGTTTAGAGCCTCCTGCGAATTATGACCGGGGGGGAGACTTTTTAGGCCAAAGTCTCCCCCTCGCCCATTTTAATGTATTGGGTGGAGGCTGCCGGGGGAGACTTTGGCCTAAAAAGTCTCCCCCCCCGGGCATATGCCGTAAGAGGCGCGAAACCCCCACATATTATATATCATCTGAAAGCCCTTGATGAGAGGAATCTAACCTATGAAGTCGCAACATGATTCATGCAGTTCTGAAGAAGTTATGAGCTGTTGAAGTTCAAAAAGCTCTTTTTTACCTGCTTTTTCATGACTCTGGATCTCGGAAGTGTTTCAATGGATCGGAACGGACAAGACATATTCTGATAAGGCAAACCTTACTCTATAAAACCTATGAAGTCGCAACATCATACACTTCCACATTCAAGATTTATAAGAGTTTAACTCTCAACAGTCAAAAAACACGCAAAAATGGCGTAAAGTTTTAGAACTCTGGTTTTCAACGACTATCTCTTAAATCGACCAGATTCCTTCACTAGCTGATAGAGCAACATTTACTCTTTAAAACCTATGAAGTCGCAACTGCTGACATCTTCAAACAACAGATTTATAACAGTGGAAATTTCGCATGATTTTTCACTATTTAAATATTCAAAATTCTGGTTCTCCGCCGTTACTGCCTGGATCTACCTACTTCCTTCGCTATACGTTATAACATAATTTGCTTAATAAAATCCGTACAGTTTTGCTAAGCTTTACTTCCAAATACACCATTTACTAAAAACCTTTATTTTAAATATATATGCCGCCGTATACATAAATATATGCTTTCAATAATCTTTTTTGCGTTTGTTTTGCTTATTTTCCTTCTTTGTCGTCCAGCGAAAAATTTTTTATTCCAAAAGTGAAGGTGGTCACCCCGTACCAGCTCAAAAGTGAAGGTAGGGGGAGACTTGGCTCCCCCTATCGCACCTCTGGTCGTACTTGCGCGATGTTGTGTCTGAGAGGGGGCCATTCTTGCATGGCACTGAAATCCCAAAACCCCCACCTTGCCCGGACACTGCTTTTGAAACCCCATAAGTCCTCGAACTGCACCAGTTTTCGAAAAACTCTCGGATATCTCTATTTTGTTATCAAGAAGCGAACGGCTTGAGCCAGTCTATAGCTCACACGAAAGTCGACACAATGTCAAAATTTGAGCGCGCCAATATCAAAAAGCGAGAAGTTACGAGCTCAGTTGCAAAACGTAGTGAACAGCCTAATACTTCTCTTGATGAAATTTGGAGCGTTGTCATTCTTGCTCTCTAAGTGCTTTTATAGGCACAAAATTCTACATTGACGGCAACGGTAGTTTTTTTGGCGGCATGGAGAAGACAATATTTTATGGTTGCGGTGACATCTAAAAGAATTTCTCCCAAGATTGTCTGAAGCGTGTCAATATTCTTAATCCTAAATACGCAAACTAATCATTCCGACAATGACTAGGAACAAACGGAGGAAGATCACAAACGAATAACATAAATTTTGTAAGCATGAATTCTGAAAGAGGTTGCATGCAAAAACTTATGCCCCTTTGACAAACAGACTTGAGTTTTTAGAAAACCATCCCCCGTCAAGATTTCAAAAAATGCGTAGGACTTAGTAAGAATCAAAGTTTATCGTAAGCAGGGACAAAATACTAATATCTCGTTGTGTTTGTATTATTTCTGCATAAAGCATCGAAATGACCACTTTATGATAACAATCGACTACAGTTCTTCCCTGACTAGGCAACAGTAGTAATAATGGCTGCAAAGGAATATAACACAAGGCTCATTTGACCATTTGCCAAATGACGATAACCAATTACGTTAGTGGGCATTGACTAAGAAACTATGAGGTAACCGCTATTCCGCCACTACCCACTTTTAGCCCCTAACGATGACGCAAGTTTTTCTCTCTCTATCCGCAAACGTTTTTGTCCCAAGTAATTGAGTGGAATTTTCAGTAGTCGCGCTTTTGGTTTGTTATTCGTTGATCCATAGCGATCCACAAAAAAGAAAATAACAATGCCATTTGTTCTATTATCCGAATATCCAATGATTCAGAACAAAAGCACACTACATGTCATTTGCTGCCTTGTCCATACAATACACGAAATATATATGAGATTCTTGAGGCGCGAAGCAGTTACCAGAACTAGCACATTTTTCACGGCTAAACGGTTCTCAATCGATCATGACCGAAAGGTCAAGTAAAGCACATTTTTCTAAAGTGTTCCTCAGTCATGTGAATGTTTTTATATGTATGATCGATGTCAAGCGCACAGCGATGTGTCGTAGGCAGGTGATTCGTGCAATAGAATTGATAACGATCTTCAGTCAAACACGAGATATGACAACTTTGATTAGGTTTGGAATAGGAATGCTGTGGATGTTTGGATTGAAAACCTAAATTTTTCTTTAAAAAGGTAGATTGGATGTTAGTTAAATATCCCAACAAATTCTTGCTTTTCATGGAGCGCAAGGAACATCTCGTCCTTTCTAGGATATAAGCGTAATACTGTGTTACAACATCCTTCAATGGAAAACAGGATCTGTCAAGATGTCAAATTTAGCGAGAGACTTCCCCAAAAAAGACTTCCGATCAGGGCAACGTCATTCATGCGCCTGGTCAGTTAGAGTGCGCGAATAACCGTTGAATCAGAGTTATATTATAGTGTAAGTTTCAGAAATTTGTTGTAGTAACAGTAAGGTAATTGGAGTATTGGTGAGTTTATGCAGATGATTAGATGGAAAACGAGTGGATGGCTGCAAAACTTGTACAAAAGATATCCGATATAATTGAATTCGGCATTAGATCGCAAAATTATTAGAGGAAGTTGTATATCCGCAGCTCGGAGTGGTAAACATTCTTCATTCAAAATAAAAGAAAGAAGTGCTGAAACTCACATCTTTTGGTGGACCCTCTTCAACATCTTTATTGTCTTCCGTAATGGAAGTCGTTTCAGGATCAGTAGTGGTCATTCGAGCAGAATGTGCTGAAGGGGAATACTAACAGAACTAAGTTAGAAATTGTTCCACTATCCCAGCCGGTTTGTCTGACCGTCGTGGAGTGTGCAGAGAAACAAACGAGGCGTTCCTTTTTCGCCAACAAAAACTCCCAATGTTATTTTGCCGAATTTATGGAACCATACAGTGCAGGTTATCCATTACTTGATATGCGTTCCGTTTATGAGGTCATTACTCCCCTTGCGATCGACATGGCAACAGTTTGACAAACCAGGCGGGTGTTGCTCTCTTCATAGCTCGAAAGAACCTTATTCGTTCAGGCACTCTTTTGAAAACTGCATGTACTAATTTCAACTAATTTCACTCCTAAAACAGCTCATGCCTCCATCATTATTTTCTTCAAGTTAATCTAAGATCAAGATCATTTGATTATAACTTTGACGGACTCTTGGCTTAGCTGCATTTTCTTTTTCTTTTGTTAGTCATGACTTGTTAGCCAATAGTCATGGCTTCAATGTTTCCACTTTTGATAATGTGATAGAAGTGTTAAAAGCTGCAGTGATTCTCCGTAGAAGATGATTGATGCGCTTGGGTCAGTAAGGAATTGAAGAACTCACGGCCTTAAAGTTGATCGCCTACATGGAAATACATCGTGTTAGCGAAGGAATGTGAAGAATTCTCTAGCAGGTCGCTGATTTCGTCTGTGCTGGTCGCCTTCTTCAAATACATCATTGCACTGAAGAATTTTGAAGGTTTAAACTAACAGCTTTTTGGTACAGCAAATTGCTTCTGTAGCGCGAAATCAAGCAAGGGCTATGATGTCACAGCGAAGGTTCTGGGTGTCCCAGGAGCATTATACGCCATAGGTACGCTAGGGGGAGCCGGCCCCCCTTCAGGTGAGAGGTTCTTGCCTACTCCCTCCTTGAAGGGTGAAGGGGTAACTGACTACTGGTACCTGATGCTTATGTTTTCTAGAATGCCGAAGGGTGGGGGATGAAGACTGCATAACATCCCAATCGGCACCTTTTGGAGTATAGTAGGAGGCTTTTTAAATCGAGAAAGCGGAGTGCCTCAACAAGCTAAAAACTATTCGAAAGCTGAGATCATGGATGATCGACTGGACCGTCGAGTTTTTCTGGATCATCTGAGCCGTGAGATATGAAGAATTCCATCTGCCCGATATATCAACTGATTTAATGTGCTCAATTTCTGCATAAAGAATGAGCGGCAGTCAGGTCTCCTTGGGCAGGAATCTGCTGCTGAAAACGGATATGATTTCAGATAAAATACAGCTTATCTCTTAGTAGATGGGGCCAGGAAAAAAGTCGATTTACGTCATATAGTCGTCGTTTCCAACGCTTTGAAATGATATATTATAGCTCGTTGGGGTCGGGAATTTCTTACCCGAACCATATTATCACCACTGAAATGCCTGGCAGGCACATTCGAACTCGCTATAATCAAGAGTTCCTCAGGATACCAAAGCGTTGCAAGCCCGGCTCCCTCATTCAGTGTCGCTTCACATGCTGAAAGCGGGATTTACAAAGTTTTCGAAATCGAAATTCAGCAGCGAAACTGCTGCAATCAAGACCAAATTTTGAAGTGGAGGGTCTTCAACAATGTTACTCTCAGTAGTGAGATTTGTGTGTTGCAAAGTCAAGCTTCAGTACCGATGATACCCAATCAAGAACAGAATTCGGATTCAAAGGTTTTCGAAATTCCTTTTTTCATAACAAGACCGAAGTTTAGGTTCACTGGTTCTCGAAATCGCCTTTTCGATAACGGTATGTTTTGAGCAATAGCAATAGCGATTTAAATTTTTGAACACTTTTTACAAGAAATGCTTGTGTCACAAAGATCGAATTATTTCTCAGACATGAAATGTCAAATGCAGAAACGTATGTATTGATATTGGTTTTTTCCTAAATTCAGTTTTGAGAAAATGGCCCGTAGTAAGCCCCCGTCCAGCGCAACTGGGCTGGGAGGGGACCTACTTTGAACGTAGAGCGCCTCCCCAGTCCGGCATCCGGTGAGCTATTGATCTGGATGCGGATCGCTTTCTAGACCTAGACATCTTGTGCGTTTTCAAAAACTAAGCCCTTTAAGTGCGTTTGGTTGAACGGCTAAATGAATGGGTTTTTTACGCGAAAGGCCCTGGTTCGAAGCCAGCTAAGGCGTACTTTTGCTGCCGGACAATTCTTGATGGCGACCGCTATCAAGGATAATGCCAAGCAAATCAATGGATAAAACAAAACAATCATATCTTGACGAGTTTATCATGAAAAAACGTTAATGTTGGAACATAAAGCAAATAAAACAAATCAAGAAATCCTTGTTTCAAACAGTTTTCAAAAGAAAAACGTAAGCTCTAAAAAAGAAGCCCTGTTTTCTTGCTTTTCTCGCTGCGATCAGTTGTTCATCGATCCTCTCCTATTTAGGCCGCCGAGATTGTGCAATTTTGGGGATTTTGCAGCAGCAGCACGTCGGCTAGTTGCTTCTTAGGTCATTTACGAGCAACTTACGGGAAATTTGTCTGGTTTTCCTGTTTTGCACACTAACTCCCTCGAGTCACCCTCAAATTTACCCTCGGCTAAGTGGCATTCTGTTGAACTGAGTGTGACACTTAACCAAACATCTTCTAACTGTTCAGCTGACTATCTGAAAGCACGGGAAGATGGGCGGGATCAAGCTTCTTCTAAATGGCTCATATGAGATCAACTGAGATGAATGGGGCTTACACCGGCCTAAGTCAAGGTACAGCACTAAGAATGACCTAGCCAAGTATGTCTTGGCAAAACTCAGGACACTAAGGTCATTAGGGCTGCCTAATGTCACAAAACTTCGAAAGTTAACCTAGAAAGCTCGAGGTGTTGACAAACAATAGAGATAAGGTCTTCACATTTTTAAAAACACCAAATTCAAATTTATCGGAATAAGTTTTCTCAAAAGTTCATTCATAAATTTTTGAAGATCTCTTAAGAAAAATTTCGACTACCGAATCTGTACCTCGGTTGGGGAGCATTATCGAAAACTCCTAACTCTAAAATTTGGTATCGATTGGAGCAATTTCGCTACTGAGCCTCGATTTCAAAACTTTCTTTGAACTTCCGGTTTCAGCATGTGAAGCGACAGTGGACAAGGGGGCGGCTTGAAATGTATTGATATCTTGAAGAGCTCGTAGTTATAGCTAGTTTAAATGTGCCTAGCACGTAAATCACCTAGGTGCGAGAATATAACTCGGGTGAAAAACTTCTCGCACCCTGTTGAGGCATTTCGCTTTCTAGCTCTAAAGTCCTTGTTCCGGTGACCCATAAAAGCCAATACATTAAGGGGGCGAGTTGGAACAAGCTGATAGTAAGTATTTACACTCAGTTTTTTGCAGCTAGCAAGTTTTTCTGCTCGACACTCTATATACCATCGAAAGCCCAGGAAACGGGGCTTTGAAGTAGGCCCCACTCTACCGAGTAATACGCTGCCTTTTATCTAAAATTGTTACCATTTTCACAGTAAGATTCTGCCCAACAAAAACCTAGCTACCGCTGATTATCCATCTATGTTATAGAGGATGTTTTCATTGATGAATCTAAGCCGTTGATTTTTCTATAGTTTTCATCTTCGTTGCGATAAAAGAGCAAATGAGCGCACTAAGTCAGTTGATACATCACCTGGATAAAATATTTTTTATCCTTAAGTCAAAAGATTAGAAAAGCCGACTTTCTACGTCGACCTCTAATTTCCTTAGCTTTCGAATATTTTATAGACTGCTGGGAAAAGAAACTTGGCATTTTCAAAAATGGGCTGCAGGTGTTTACTATTAGCTTGCTCCACCCCGCCCCCTCAAAGTGTTGGCTTTTATGAATCACCGGAGCAAGAATTTTTGAAGCCAGAAAGCAAAATGTCAAGAAGCTATAAACGTTCAAAAGCTGCGGTCATGAAGAATCGAAATAGACTGCCGAATCGTTTTACCTTTTTTAGCAGAAGAGAATTGCATTTGATTCTCTTTCTACTGCATGTAACACTGAGCTTTTTTTGTAATTTTTAACACAAGACTATTTTTCTGTTTTTATCAGCATCGACCTGGATGAAGACTTACTCTTGAATCAAATGGCTTGGCGGCTGAAAGGCGGGGCTTCGTGACCCTAATCAAGGCTAGATAATGATCAGAGCACGCGCGCGGGAGAGATGCAGATTGCGTCGCGCGGGAGCGGCCTTAATTAGGTCACAAAGCCCGCCTTCTAGACAAACGAGTTGAACCAAAGATTACATTAGTTGTTTTTTCATTGTCTCTCACAAGCCGCCTTTATCTGTCTACCCAAAAACTGTGACAAGCCTTAGAAAGCCTTAAGGTTGAAAACATGTTCCTAATTTCCCTTTCAAAAATAACATGGGAGAAAGGTGCAGCAAACAAGCAACAACCATTGAAACTTCGAGAAAAATTCAATGATCGTTGCTTTTTTGTATTTTTTTTATTATATATTTGATTTATTTCATTTCTTGAAGCTAATCCAACGCCTCTAAAAGGGTGCGGAAAACTACAATATCGTAATTAATGCTGTAATTGATAGAAATATAATCGACAAATAAATACTGTTTTTTATGGATGCGGTTGTTCTGTTCCACGGCTGAGGTTTTCAGTCTGCAATAGGCTTTTATCATGTTTTACTCTCAAATTAACTTCGCAATTTAGCCCCAGGTGAAGGGGGTCTCTGAGTTCTGACCCAAAACTAAGGGTATCTCTATCTCAAACGTCTTTTAACGATTGCTGGAAATGACTGATAGAAAGGGTTTCAACCTAAATTTGCGATAGAGCGATTCGCCTGACGTTCTTCAAGCTTTATGATAACTTCTTCAGGGAATTTGAAGAGGGTTTCGAGCCTATATTTGGCCCTATTTTGTACCATAAAGGAACTCAATCAAAATGGAATTTCTAACATTAGGCTGACCAAAATCTTGACTTTGGATAGAAAGTTTGCACTTTACTGTGCTGTCTCTTCATAATTCATGCAAAAATACTAAACAATGGTTTTTCCCAAGTTCCTTACGATTAGAAGTGTGTGCACGATGTGCAAATGAATACTTGTAAAAGCTTGTTTAATACATT